GTTTTTTCATCTGAGAGTATAGTGTGTCCCAAAAACTGTCATAAAACAGTCATTAAAAAAATAGTATATTTTGTCATAAAAATAGTCATAGTATAGTCTGCCAAACAATCGTCAAGAAAAAAGTCAAGTAATTCAAAACTTGAGTACAGTACTGAGTTACATGTTACCACTGCTATAGCTATTTTTACAGTCACTGCACTGTAGAGGAGTTTATTAAAAGGTGTGGTTAAAAAGGAAGAAACACACTCTTCTCTTGGGTATCATACACTCTTCCTATTGCTCAACTGCAACTGCATTCTTTCCTTGTTATGTCATCTTTGTCACTATTTACTTATTAAGGAAGCAAGTGTTAAGAAGTAAGACTTCATTTAGGGTTATAGGTTGAGTTTGTTAAGGAGACAGTGTTGAATTAAGTCTCTGAAAATTAAACATGTTGCAGAACTCTTCTCTGATATCCTATTAGGGTTGGGTACCGAAACTCGGTACTTTTTGTACTTGGTACTGATTCACGTCGGTACTACCGAGTACTGATTCACTTAAAATGAATCGGTGCCAAATTTCGGTACCTGAGGTGGAGGCGGAGCGAGAGCGCATGACTCGCACCTCAGACTCAGCAACAATGGCGACAAAAAAATGTGCAGACAAAAGTTAACGTGCAGCACTGTTCCTAAATGTTCTCAATAAAATGTTGAAACTGAGAAGTTTAGACTTTAAAAAGTACCTAAATAATGTACTGTTTGGTACCGGTACCGAATTCCAGATACCGGTACCGGTATTGTATCGGTTCAATTATGAACGATACCCAACCCTATATCCTATGCTTCACTACAGTGTGTTCACATCTCTCAACACTCACTGATAACCCGTAACACATGTCAAAGACAAATCTTTAACAAAAGTTCTGTTCCTGCAGGAAGCACTACAAGGAGTACCTGGTGAGTCTGATAAACGCTCACTCACTGGACCCTGCTCCGCTCTACGAGGCCAATGAGCTGCTTCGGGCCTGTGAGAGATACCTGGTGGACAAGCAGAAAGTGGAGAATGAGGACGATAATGCCTACCATGCCCGACTGCTCAAGGTAAGAAACATCCATCTGTTGTCACAAGGGTCAGGGAGGCGGCTTACGAATGGAAGGGCAGTGGTTGGACTCACCACACTGGCTGCAAGGATCCTGGTCCCTCTTGCCACACAGTTAAAATGCTCTTTAGCAAGGCACTAATCTGGTCCAGAGCAGCTGTCCAAATGTTGGAGTTTCAAGTTTGGTGGAGGATCTTTGTCTCTTTTCACAGTACCTACAAAACAAAATGTTTTAATACACCAGCCTGGGAAGAAAACAGGGTGGTACAGGGAGATGCACTGTACATTATTTATCTAAGAAGCAATAATTATGTCAGGTCACAGAACGTTTTAAATACTGTGCTCTTCACAAATGTTTTTTAAGTAAAAATCTCTCTTTTTTTTTTTTGAAGATTTTAAATTTTTTTAGTTCCTAACATTTTCATGTCAAGTATTTAATAGTGTGTTTCAATTTGTAACTAAAGATCTTTGAGTTTAGATGGTATTTCTGTCATGTTTAAGACAAAGGACTTGACATCTGTGTTTCTTTTTTCCAACCTACAGAAACTGATGGAGGTCCCTCTTGGAGAAAAGGTTCCTCGAAACAAATAAAAGGTTCCCTGAACAGAACACCCCCCTCCTAAATTGTGTTCATCAAGCAATTGATGCCAACCAGAGTCATGAATCTGAAATAATTAGCGCTGCCTTTGGTTGTTAACAGGCTGTTATTACTCATCTGCAAAGTATTTTTTTCTCCACCCTTTGACAACACACTTGACTCAAACAAACATCAGCTGTGTGCCAAAATAAAACACTGAACATTACTTTGGTGGCAAGCAGCTGTCCGATTTGTGTATCTATTCATAAACATTTGTTTGTTCAATGGTTCTCACAATTGAAGGTTAAACCTTTGTTTCCTTGTTGAACATAATGATAAACTGATAATGAAGGAATCAAGCGGTTTGAGTCTGCTTGATATTCATGTCAGTTCAGCTCTGACAAATGTAACTATTGTCTTCCTTTGTCTTCAGGGCCCTGTTTCAGAAAGTGGGTTTAGTGAAAAGTCTGAGTTAGTTAACCCTGAGATGAGGGAAACTCTGGGTTTTGTTTCTGAAAGAGAGCTAAACCTGCTTGGTGGCAGGTTTTCTTCAACAAACCCTGAGTTTCTCTCTGTCTCCTCCCTCTGACAGAGCCAGGCACGTTTCCTCATTGATGTAGTTTGTATCAAAGAGCACATTGAAGTGCATTGATTATAGTGATGGTTTACTGTATGTCAGAATCTAAATCCTGGTTGGATATTAGTTTGTTACTCAGAACTATCTAAAGTTACGGCTTTATGTCCTGTCAGTAATTTCTTTGAACAGCAGTTTCTGCCCTCAAATTAAAATATCACACAACATCAAATCACCTTTAATCTCTTTAAACTGATATCTGTGTATGTCTGCTTTATCGTCGTCAGATGATAGTCTAAAGGGTCCGAGACTGAGTCACCCCAGCTCAGAATTAAACCCCTGCATGTCCTTCTTTTTGCGCATTAATGGAACATAATTCCTATAATAGTGTTGATGATATGTAATTTTTTATGATGAGCAGGATCATGGTGCAACTGCTGAATGAAACTGAGTTTTTTTAAATAGGCTGCGTATAGTCTGAATGTCTTTTAACAGAATTTCAGTGGCTGTTTTTAAATTTACAACATTTGTTAAAGTAGCTGAAATAAAGCCACTGAACACTGTTGGGCCAAAGATTCAAACCGATGTCTAAAATTTGAAATCGACTGTATTTTAACCTCCAGTGCATGTCACCAAAGGATGTAGAAAAGTCTGCATATTCATGTGTTAATATCTCAACATGCACCAAATTAAAATAAGGTTCTGCCTTTTTTTACCTGTTGCCATGGTGAATCACAAAGTATCTGAGCTCCACTGATGATGGCTTTTTTCATTCACTCAAAGTTGATTGAACTGACTCTGATCAGCTGTTCGGAGACGAAAAACTAAAGAGTTTTCCAACACAGACTTCAGGGTCAGACTCAGAGTTTGTTATCCCTGCTTTCTGATACAGACCCCAGGTCACAGTGACATATAAATACTATTAAAGGAACTTATTAGTGGGATGGATTTGGATATTGTACGAATATGACAGTTTGTTTATCTATCTTTTGTACAAGAGGAAATGGTCTCTTTGGAAATATGTGTCAAAATTTCTACCACAGAACAATGTAGCAATGTCGGGCAAACATATTTAAATAAATATACAGAAATTAAACTAGAGGGTAAAATGTTATTTTCTTAAAGACTGTTTAAATTTTCTGCTGTCAGGGTTTTTTCTGTTTTACTTTATATTTGATGGATAAATCAATCAATAAATAAACAATATGATTATTCTGAGATGTGGATTTATTGATGTACGTGATGTACAAATAGTATAAATGACACAGCACCATTTTAGATTGTCTTTGCACTACAGTGATTCCTTAAGTTGACCCATTACTCTAAATCATCTAATGTCAGATTATTTTATGTCACACTTAACATAGTTTTGTAAAGTTTTAGTGAAGCACTTGTTGGTTTATGACTTTATACTGCATGGAGCAGTGGTGGATTGTAGGTACGTTATCCAATACTGTACTTAAGAATCACAATGTATGTGTACTTAAGTACTTAAATATTGCTGCTGCAGCTACTTTATACTTAAACTAGTACTACTTAGAGTAAAATGGTCTTTTTACTCCACATTTGTTTGACACTTACTGTTAGTTTTTACTTTGCAGAGTAGATTTTACATACAAACATTGTTATAAAACTTTCTCCACTCATTTTTGTTTCATTTTATGTTACCTTACCTTAAAAATCTCTTTTCCAGTGTGTTCAGCAACAAGGGACTAACATCGTACAAAAAAAGAGCACAAAATATATGTGACATGATCAGATTTTGTCAGTATACATCAGCTGTTTTTAATTACAGGAAAACTCCACAAACCTTTAAGGGAATATCAAATGGACCGTGGCCACTAATATTAAAGCAAGAACAGTATTTGGAAACCTTTAACTATCAAAAACAACATAACATCTTCACAGAATGTAATAGTTTGGTTAAATTCATTGGTATTTTCACATTAATAATCAAAACCTAAGGCATGTAACCCCTTAATATTTGAGTTTTGGACATTTTTTTTATTTATTTTGTTGTATTTATCCAATATTTAGCCAGAAAAGCCTCATGCAGATTAAAACAATCTTTTAAAATGTCTTGGGTCCTGACAAGTTACATCCCAAGAAGTACTCGGCTCTTTTAATGAATTATCTGTTAATTAAGTAAAAGTACAGTAGTAACACCAAAATCAAAAAAATACTGTCAAAAGCCAAAGCTTTGAATACAAAATGTTACTTAAGTAAAAATACAAAAATACTAGCCTCAAATTATACTTAAAGTACAAAAAGTAAAAGTATTTATTAGAAGAATAATGGGACTTTTCAGAATCATATATATTATATTACTGTTTTATAATTACTGATGCATTAATGTGTTCAATACTTTAATGTTGCAGCTGGGTATCTTAACCTATAATAAAACCTCCTTATTTTTAGTTGACTTATATTTTTGTTTTAATAAAAAGTAGTTTACATTATTTACCTCTGAGATGAAGTAAAGTAAAAGTATAAAGCAGCATGAATTGGAAATACTCAAGTACAGTACAAATCCCTCAAAATAGTAGAATGCTTGAGTAAATGTACTTTGCAGCAATGCAGCCTGATAATATAAAAGAGAGAACACAAAATATGCCATAAGATGATAACTTAATACTATGAATAGAGTATTTAAGCTGTGGCTCTATTGAAATAATTTTTATATCAGTAAAACAAGTATATTTATATCAATAGATCACCTAAATTCATGTGTTTTGGTTCTGTATAGATGTTTTAATGCGCATGTCCGTTGACGCCCCCTGGTGGCCACCACACAGACAGGTTCCTTTAAGTCACGTGACTTCTGGGAAAAGGATCGTCTCTGTGTGAGGCAGCAGAATCTGCAGCAGCAACGGAGCACACACACTCGCAGTCTGCAGGCACCGCGGAGGAAACGTAACCGAGGTAAACGAAACTTAAATCTACTTCCTTAATTTAACACCTCAGCCTCTATATTTGATATATACTTATAAATACCGCCATGACAGGTGAGAGCAGATTCTGGGTTTAGTTTTTACACCAGATTTTTTTTTTTTTTTTTTTAAAGTTGATTTAAGTAATGGAGTTTTTGTGTGGGCTGTGTGTGTGAGAGAGCTAAAACTACACACACGAGTCTAAAACAGATATTTGCATTGACGCAAGTCGACGTTAAAGGTTTTACATTTAATGTTTTTATTGTTAATCTTTCAAATAGTTGTTATGAATGACTTATTATTATGAAGCGGTCGGGGAGGAACATGTTGTAACATGCAGCTGATGGTGGTTGTTTATTGTTTGTGTCAGTCTGTGTCTCTTGTGTTTTTAGTCTTTAAAGAGTCATGGCAGCAGGGAGAATGCGCTCCACGCGCAGACTACGCTCGTGGATCGTCGAACAGGTGTGTGTGTGTGTGTGTGTGTGTGTTAAAAAAGGGTGTGTGAGGCAGGGTGAGGGGTTAGGGAGGGGGAGATGGAAAGGGAAAGAGGCAGAATGAGCTGTTGTGACATTAGACAAACACATTGCTGTACATCAGTGCTGGAAGTATTTAGGTCATTTACTTAAATAAATGTACTTACACTACAGTGTAAAAGTAATCCATTACAAGTACATGTACTTTAATAAAAGTATTTAAGTATAATCCGTGAAATGTAGTTAAAGTATCAAACTGTTCCTTGTGACTTATATACTGTTAGATATGATGTTATTACAGTAGATGATTCTGACTCATGCATTCATGTAAAAGCAGGATTTGACTGTTGTAGCTGGTTAAGATGATGATTATTTTCATTATGAATTAATCTGATTATTTTCTCCTTCAGTAAATTGATTGTTTGGTTAGTAGTAATAGTGACAAATGTTTGTCATAATGACCCAGGGCCCAATGGGACTCCTTCACAATTTATGTTTAACCTCAACATTATTACTCATACATCACAAGTATGAATATTGTTCAAAGGAATGGCAGCAAATCTTCACATCTGTAAAGTTGGAACCCTACAATATGTTTACATTTACATTATTTTTTATATTTTTACACTTTTACATGAAAACTGTTTGCCAGTTAAAAGATTAAGCTCTACTTTGACATTTTCATGTTTTGTGTGCAAAAATCTTAATTTGTGAAGTAACCATTAATTTAGTAGTTTTACTAATTAGTACTTTTATTATCAATTAATCTTTAAAGTATTTTCACCATTAATTATTTAGTGTATAAAATGTCAAATGTTGTTAAAAAGTTATTAATTATCTTTCACTTATCTGGGCCAGGTCTCCCCAGCATTCATCTTCCAGCACTAACCATGTGATTGTTGTAATAGGGTGAGGTTGGTATTTTTCAACTTGGGGCCTATTTTCTAATGTTTTCGTGTCTATGTGACTAAAGGGAAAAACAAATTTTGAAACTGGTGCAGTATTGAATGAGACCACTGCAGCCTGGAGCCATGAAACAGGCAGCAATGTAACCACTCAGGGCACTAGAAGTGTTTGTTTTTGCAACTGACAGGCTCAGATTGTTAATGATAACAATAACAATGTGTCTGACATTATGGAAAGGATCCCCACAGAGATAGACCTTTTTGTTAAAGAGTCTGGTGGGTTTGGTGATGGCGATTTGGAGTCTGTTTCTGGCTAAACAAAAAGAATCTCACTCTTTAACAAAAAGGTCTATCTCTGTAGGGATCCTTTCCAGAATGTTGTCAGACACTTTGAATAACAATCTGAGCCTGTCAGTGGCAAAACACTTCTAGTGGAAGTAAAATGATGGTGCATTGTTGCCGGCAGAGATTACATTGCAGCCAGGTTCACAGCTGCTGGCTGCAGCGCTCTCACTCAGTACTGGACCAATTAAACAAAAAAATCATGCTCAGATTAGTCATTTAGACACACAATCGAGGAAAACAGAGTCCAGGTTGAAAAGTACCAAAGTTACCCTTCAGTAATGTTGCAGGAACAACACAGATATTCTTATTAGACTGGACAGTTTGAGGACACTGTTCAAAGGAACTTGAGGTGAGTAAATTAACTCAGTTGTTGTGTATGTTTGGCTGTTGCAGGTCAGCAGTGGGAAATTCCCGGGGCTGATGTGGGACGATGAGGCCAAAACCATGTTCCGCATCCCGTGGAAACACGCTGGGAAACAGGACTTCCGTAAAGATGAGGATGCCGCCATCTTCAAGGTCAAGACGAGTTTCTTGGCTCTAAACACACAACTCCCAAAACACTAACGATCCGAATCACTAAAGAGACATGTTTTTCCTCTGCAGGCGTGGGCGCAGTTCAAAGGTAAGCCTACAGACGGGAGTCAGGACAGCCCGGCCTCCTGGAAGACCCGCCTGCGCTGCGCCCTCAACAAGAGTCCAGAGTTTACAGAGGTGATGGAGCGAGCCCAGCTGGACATCTCTGAACCCTACAAGGTCTACCGCCTCGTCCCCATCAGCGAGCAGGGTAAGACCCCAGCACATCTTACTCTACACACTCTGCTTGGGACAGAATTGAGGTTTCCCGAATTCTTCGGGCACTATTTGGCTTGTGGTTTGTTTCAGTCAGTTGATCTGTTCCAAACAGACTCATTGCTGTTATTTTCCTAAATGTGAGGTCACAGCTTGACTCACAATCAATAATAAACTCAAAACTTACAAAATGTGGAAAACTGAATAACTTTAAGCTGTAAAAACAGAATTTTGAATCTCCAACAACAAAGTTAGAAAGTAGGTAAAGACCAAGCCGTTTTTTAAACCAAAGATGAAAGAATGTGCCGACAGAAAGATCCAACATCTGGGACTTCCAAAAGTAAGTACTTTGGTACAACCTGGCACATATTAAATTTTTACACATGCATCTCATATCTCACATCTGAACTCAGCTTGTATCTGCAATTTAACATGATACCTGCTTCATTTTAATCTCAAATCAAACGTTTATATTTCAGTTTTTTAATTATGTTATGCAGTATATTTACCTTAGACAATCTTCAAACAGACACAGATATTTAGCACTGCAATTAACAGAACACTGGTGCTGAGACAGTTTGTCGATCAACTGAAAATAAGGATTTGCTGCTTTTCTCTGTTTAACATCATTTTAAGTTAAATATTTGTGTTTTTTTTTGACTGTGGGTTGAACAAAACCTTTTTTTATACTACCCTCACAAATTTTATAGATGGATTTATCAATAATGAAAATAAGTGTCACACAGTGGCATTGCATGATAAGAAAACATCTGGTTTACCTTTTTGTTGATGCCAGCTTCACTTCTTCCCACCAGTGTCCAGATGAACATGACCAGAGCAGATTTGCACACTGTATAAAGACACAATCACAGGTCACAGTCAGAATGTTTCTACAATAAAGACATTGTCGCTATATCAGTGGTGATTTTCAGAGGTTTCTCGTCACCATATATTGGATTTAATGCGAGTTTATATGTTAGGACCACGGGTATCGTGTGTTACAGTACTTTAAAGTATTACAAACAGCCTGCAGAGAGAGTTCTTAATGAATTTAGTGTCAGAATAACCAAACTCAGCCGGTAACTTGACAGATCATATACAAATACTTGAGTTTGTACTCTGTACAGTCATTATGGGAGAGGGATTGTTGTTAACATACAGGGTTAACATAAACCCTCATACTGTTGACACTGTTGTTCATAATAAGTTGTTGTGTTTAATACAGAGGTGAATATTTCTAAGTGGTAAAAAGTTCTCATCCAGTTTTGCCAAAATACTGCGCTTGTAAGCAGTGATGGAAGTGGGAATAATATCACACTGTAGAAATACTCTGTTACAGGCAAATGTCCTAAATTCATAAGTTTACTTAAAGGGATAGTTCAGATTTTTTTGAAGTGGGGTTGTATGGGGTACTTATCCATAGTCAGTATAATACCTTTGTAAGTTGTTTGTCGGGGCGCCCCCAGTTTGGAGCAGCAGGCTGGAATCTGCCACAGAGGGTAAGCTGAGGGACAGCAACAAAATTTATTTTAGCTACCTAAAAAAATCCATATCGGTTCAGGTGTATGCTATATTTAGAACATTTTTACAACTTTATGTTGTCTTCAGACAGCCCTTTCCAACAAGGTAGCAGGTATTAGCTTCAGTTCCCAGTCCATGCTCTAATCAAAGCCACCAGACTCTATTGACAAAAAGGGTCATTTTGCCGGCTGCTGTGTCTATTTCTGCTTGCCGCTGTTATGTTTACTTCTGCCTGAGTGACGCGGAGTAACGTCCTCCCACTTTGGTTCCGCTTAAACTGGTGTGGACACGGGCTGATTCGCCAGACAGCACCAAGGTTCTCAGACTCCAGAACAGAGCCGGAACCAGAACCGTGCCGGTGCCATGCCTATGTAAAACCACTAACTGTGGAGCTTGGCTTTGAAGAGAGTGATGTAACTACTTAATTTCCCCATTGAAATTTGCTGTCTGACATTTAGGTAAAGTGGTGAAAATATTCTAAATATAGTGGACATTGCTGAGCTTTCACATTGGTACTCCAGCCTACTTCTCCAAACTGGGCATGTGCTGACCGAAACCTATTGTAGGTAATACACTGACTATGGCAAAGTACCTCATACAACCCCACTTCAAAAAAAAAAATCTAAACTATCTAGAGCCTCCCTGACTCATAACCTTTAACCTTCTTCCATCAGGCCTCTGCTGTATCTCTTACTGCTGTCACAGTAGGGGTTAACTGAGCATTACACACCATACATCATAGCAAGTAACCTTATACAAAAACATGCAGAATACGCTATAGGTTAAAAAAGGGTCAAATACCAGAATTTTTCATCACACTCATTCCCCATTATCTAACGACCTTATGACCTACGAGTACCGCCCATACCAGCCAAACGCCAGTACCACCAGCCTCCAACATGGGAGATGAAAACCCAGGCAGAAGTCACAGGCCATAAGCACAGGCAAGCCAAACATCTCCCTCCCTATATGGCGAAGGAGAGGGTAAAAGACTTGACCGTCTAACTACACTACCTAATAAGGGAAAAAACCTCTATATGATGAGGACCAAAAAATCTCTTAAATTAAACAATAAGCTAAAGCAAGATATGCATAAATAAAAAAATGTCATCTTTAATGAGAATACACAATAGTAAAAATCAATAAAGGGAACACCGACTGTCATGCGAATGTTTATATAAAAGCAAATGAAGATGAATAAAAACAAATGAAGGTGAATAAAATGAGTAAGAAAGATGAAAAATAAAGTGAAAAATCAAAATAATAAATTGAGTAAATATGGTGTCTACTAAACTAAGTAAAAGTGCAAAAACATACCTAAAATACCAAAAGTACTTATTATGCAGAATTGTGCATTTCAGAATAATAATAATTTTATTAGATTGCATAAATATGTATTATTAAATTAATGATATGTTAAAGGTACTTTATGTACTGCCAAGTTACTTAATTCATATAAATACATCATAATTCTTAGTACATTATATTTTGTATTGGTTATCTGAATCTGAATGTATCAGAGTAGAAGTATAAAGTAATATGAAATGGAAATACTTAAGAAAGTACAAGTACCTCAAGCAGTGGTGCAAAGTAAATGTACATTCTGCTGCTGCTTGTGTTATAATATATATTTATTTGCTCGGAATCTTAGAGTTTTATCCCATTGTCACCCCTGGTTATGTATTTAACACTCAGTATGTTGACATCTCATAACTTAAAACAAGTATTTTTACTGTGATCCTCATTTATTTGCTCTGTGTTCAGGATGAATGAGGCAGTTACTCGTTTTTATATAATTTTATCTGTCAGCCACAGACAGGAAGGAATATTCTGATGAGACCATCAGCAGCAACAGGGAGGATTCAATTTAACGTCTGCAGCCTTGATGTGAAGTGTGCCCACTGCTGCACCCTTAAAATATTGTTCTGGTTGTAAAAATATCACAATAAGTGGTTTGTTTCTTGTCCTATGTAAACACATGATCCTCAAATACAAGAACTGAAGAAAGGATGTTATTTTAAATTTTCTGACATGTTAGAAATGTATCACAATATAAAACAACATTTAATATGTTGCTGTGTTTTATCATCCCACATGAATCAGTAGTTTCAATGCCTGTTTACTGACAAGTAAATACACACAGGTAAATGCCTCTATACACAGAGAGGTAGAAATAGTGATAACAAAATTTAACCAAAAAGATTTAATAAAAAAATAATAATAAATTTGAATTAATTAACAATTACAATAACAATAATAATAAATTAAATGTTACAAAAAAGAAATAAAAAAAAAAGATTAAAAATATGAAATAAAATCAGTGTAGAAATTTAGTAAAAAATACATTGTTAAAAAATGGTAAAAATGAACAATCCAATCAATTTATTTGTCACACAAAAATATGATACAGTAAATAAAGTATGAAAGAAAACTAACAGTACATGCCATACAATTTTTTTAATTTAATTTTCGCACTATATAAATAAAGTTTATTATGTTATATATTATGACATGTAGCAATAAAATAATTAAATGTATGTTTCATACTATTTAACCGCATTTATTGAGACATGTTCACACAATAACACATTTATTCCTTTTTAATTTCAGTTTGCTTGGACTTAAGAAATGATGTAAAATGAGATCCCTACAAAAGACATAGAAGACGACTCTCAATGACTCATTTCTTTAGTTTATCGTTAAAACTTGCAGAAAATTGTTCCCTTAAACAGAATTCGAGCTAAAATTATTAGTTGATTAACATAAAGATAATAGGCAGCTGAGCATGTTTTTTTTTCTCCACAATCTTATTGATGTATTGTCAACTAAATGATTAATTTATTAAAAAGATAATCGCCGAATTAATCAGTAATGAAAAATGTCATTAGTTGCAGGGTTTTGAATTTAAGTGTTTAGTTTAGATTGACTTTTTAGTACTTTTAGTACCCGTTTAACGTAGTAAAGAAAATACAGGTTTAGTCACTTAAATCATTGCTTTATTATCTTGTAAAGACTTTTGGTGTACATGTACAAATCTGCAGCTGCTTTCTCAGAGGGAAGTGAGTTCATGTTTGCAGGCAGTGATTAACAGTCTTTATTCTTAGAATTTTCCTCACACAGCACACAGACTCACACCCTCACTGCTGCGTGTTAAAACATCAGTGCAAACCACTGATTAAAATGTTACACAATGTGACTTTAGAAACCTCTCCTGCCTGTGTTGCAATGGACTTTCCACCCTGTCGTTCCCCATCTGTTATTGTACTTAACGCCTTGTAACCTTTTCCACATTGAATCACATCCACTCTCTTCTTTTTTGCTCAAAAATACTCAAATCTCCTCATTTAGTCTTTATATTTTTCTTGCATGTCTCTGTTATACAATCTGTGTATAATAATAATCATTACTAAGCCAGGGGGGTTTTGACCTCTTCAGCTGCTGTTTCTGGTGACTTCAGCACTTAGATTTTCTAATAAATTAATATGTAAATAAATCAACACATTTAAAAGAAATAACTGAAAACATGAAAGGGAAATTAAATAGAAAATAAATAAATGTAAAATAAATAAATAAATTAATAAATAAATAAAAGAGAAAATTAGATAAAAATAAATAAATGTAAAAAAATAAAAAGAAGTAACTGAAAACATAAAAGGGAGAATTAAATAGAAAATAAATAAATGTAAAAAAAAATAAATAAAAGACAAAATTAGATAAAAATAAATAAATGTAAAAATAAATAAATAAAGGGGAAAATTAAGTAGGAAATTAAATAAATAGGGAAATTAATAGGTAAATCAATACAGAAGCAAATTAAAACAGACATTAATTTATGTTACATCTGATCAATTCATTCATGCCTACTTATAGTAGATTATTTTAGTACATTTAATTGCAAATTGATTTATTGCATAATTAATACTTAAGAACTTCTGATACGTAAAGTATATTTTGTCATATTTTTATTTAAGTAAGATTCTGAATGCAGGACTTTTACCTGTAACAAATTATTCTCCTCTGTGGTATTACTACTTTTATCTCAGTAAAAGATCTGAGTACTTCATCCACTGCTGTATAAATTATTAGTTGATTGTAATTTGTACTAAGAATCTGAATTTGCAAAGTAACTAAATGTATCAAATAAGTGTAGTGGCGTAAAAAGTTCAGTGCATACCTCTGAGATGTAGTGGAGTGGAAGTATTAATTATCATAAAATGGAAATACTCATGTTAAGTACAGATACCTCAGATACTGGAGTGCAGTGTGCACCTGAGCTAATGTTAAAACCAGAGGACAAGAAGGCAATAACAAATCAAGTGACTTGTCTGTATTATCACCTCAGCTGTTGTTGCTGAGTCAGCAGGGCAGTGAGTTGATAGGGGGCAAAAAAGTTCAGCCAATGTCAACCTGGTAAACTGGGACAAGTGTGTTTACTGGAAGACATTAGTGATGAAAGCATAAAATGACCAGAAGCTACTTTGTTTGTTCATTCATGTATCATATACCCACAGATACTATTATTATTATTGGGTTATTTGGTTGGATTATTCAAATGTTTTGCTCTCTCCCTGTTTAGGTATGGTGGTTCCTGAAAAGAAAAGCAGAGTAAAAGTCACCAAAAGGCCAAAAAGGAGGAGGAGCAGTAGTGAATCAGAGAGCAGCGACGTCGGCCAGACTAAGCAGATAAAGATGGAGGAAGTGACCTCGCAGCTGGTGAGTATTTACTTAATCAAAGTATGTCAATTTTATGACACTTTATACTTCTGCTCCTCTACATCTCCACCACATTTATCTGACGCCAATACACTTATTCTATACAGTATACGCTACATGCTTATCATCATCATAGTTTACTGTTTAAGTATACAAAAAAAAAAACATACGTTTCCATTTTATACCAACAGAAAATGATACAAACTGCAACTTTGGAAAGACACTAGCTGATTAAACTTCACATAAAAAAGTCTAGGTTTTATTTGAGCAGTTTCACCACCATCCACAGTTTTTTTTACATTTTTTTTTCCAGCTACTCCATCTCCTCTGTGCATTGCATTGTGGGAGAAGGAGCGCATCAACAGGACTCCCTAAAAACTTGGTATTTCACTCAGGGGTGATACCTTAGATCCTGCGTCATGTAGAGTGATGTGTGCTTGATGCGCATTGTCATCGGCTAGCATTGGATCGTCTTGTCACTTTTGGCTAAGCTAGCAAAACCATAACCCATAAAGTTGTTTATTAATCTAATCTTTGCTTGAACCCCAAGATTAAACCAACAGAGGACCTTACTAGAGATGTACCGATACCACTTTTTCCTTCCCGATACCGATTCCAATCCCTGAACCTTAGGTATCTGCCAATACCGAGTACCGATCCAATACCAGCGCGTAAAATAAAAATGGATGGGATATGAATTATTGTATGTCTCAACTCCTAAAACTCTATGTAAAATATTAAGAAATAAATACATTATAGTAGAATGAATGCCATAAAACTTTTTTTTTTTTTTTTTTTAATCATTACCCAGTGTTGACACAGATCAAGACACAGGTTAAAGTGCAGCCACACAATTTGGTAAAAAAGACATTTTAAAGGCTACAGTAGAATGCTTTTTAAACTCCGCTCTGTTTCCGTTTCATTTGCCTGTAGCGTGCGTATGCGTAATGACGTGAGGCATTACGTGGTATCGGATTGGTCATAGGCTCTACTTGCCGATACCCGATACCGCATTTTAGGCAGTATCGGATGCATTTCCGATAGTCCACTGGTATCAGTATAACTCTAGACCTTACACCTAGCTGTAACTTTAAACAAGAATGATTTTCTTTTTTTCTGGCAATCATCAATTTACAAATATTCAGTTAGATTTTTGCTCACAGCTCAGTTTACATGTAAACAGGTGTGAGACCAAATTACAAATTATAGGAAACCATGGACAGTATATTCTGTGTGCCCTCATACTTGTGTATTCAGTCTACCTAATTTTCCAAACTTTACAATTAAAACAAGCCTATACTTTGCCACACAGTCCAACTTCCCATTTTCATCAAGCCAAAATAGTTTAGGAGCTTTGTTCAGCATTCTTACAAAGCTATATGCAAGTTATCATATGAAGTATGAATGTGCACTCAGCTGAGGGGGACTGAGTTGGTTACAGAGCTTGTTGAAGCGTGCACTAATATGTCCTGCAAAACCACACTACTGGGGTGAAATACAAAGTATTTAGGATGTCCAGTGCATCGGCAATATGCAGTCAGTATGCGTATAATTTGGATGTGAGACACGACAAAGGTTTTTGCCTTTTAGCATGTTAGCGTGCTACAGTATGGAGTAAGGAAGCTCAGTAAGGAAGCTGAGAGACTGTCAAGATGTGAGCCATATGTTCTTGAGGGATTCCTATCCAAGTGTTCACATGTTTAAGTTGACATTGAGACAAAAGTTATTAGGTATAATAAGGTAGCTTACTGCCTTTTTGAACATTTGTGAGCTGAAGGTGTCATCCACCTGCTGTTGACATGTCTCAGTGAGATTTCATAAGAACTGCAATCTCTGTGATTCTCAGTGTGTCGAAGAGGCTCTGCTGTGGAGCGAAACCCCCGCCCAGACGGATGAATACACACAGCACACCACCACCACACAGAGAGAGGGTGAGTTCGGCTGCATCGTTTTACAGCAGGCACTGATTGTGTGGTCGATAACAGAGTCGATCAATACAGCTTAAGAGTCTGACATGCTTTCCTTTTCTAGATATGAACTCCTTGACTTCATGTCAGATCTGTACAGGATAAATTAATGGGATTTTTTGTGAAATTACAATCTGAAATTCCACACTTCATGTAGATATAGAAGTGACAGAGAGGTGTATCTGTACGTGACGTGTAATTGGTTCTTTCTTGACCTTAAACACTAACTAACCAGCCATCTAACTCAACTGACTTCACTCATATAAAGGAGATTTGCCATAGCTACTTGCAGAATAATGACTGCCATGGAGAAGACATGTTGCTTTTAGGTTTTTGAAAATCCATTTTTAATGCAAACCACCTTATGGAAATTACAAATTACTTTCTTCCCTAAAAGGACAAGTTTTTTGCTTTGTCTAAGACAAGCTCTACATGTGTATGGCGATTACAGAAACCGTATTTCATCAGCTAAATTACTCCTGGAGGACCCCACTTTATTCGTCACGAATTCACACAGTGACATATGACAGTTTCAGATGGGGATGAATCGCTGAGGTAGCAGAGCAGCCAAATATTCAAAATAACCCTATCCAAAGTCTGGCTAAGACTGCTACTCAGCACAACAACAGTAAAATAAGTTACCCAAAATAAGGGGAGAGATCTAATTACTGACCTGCTGGATGTATGTCAGTATTCACACTGACAAGGTTTCTACAGTGCATGATATCATGATGCCCAATTACCTGCATAACCTGATTTCTCTGTGTAACCCAGTTTCATGATCCCATGGTTGTGAGTCATTGTTTACATTTGGTATCAACCCAAAAAACAAACTCTGACATTATTCTAAATAAACCAACTGATCTATCCTGTCTAATTTCTCTCTCTCTCTCTCTCTCTCTGCAGTGGTTGATGAGATCAGGTTAGACGTACGGATCGAGGAAAGCGTCCCTGCTCCCACAGGAGGTATTCAACTTACAAACATTTACTGGTTCTTCTGTAAAAATGCACATAACAGATTTTTTTTTTTAACAGAGTATAATGCCTTATAAATGCTGGACCATTTTCCAACTTGCTTTTATAATAACATTTAGACTGTTGTTTTGTTTGTTTTTGACACTGGTTAAATACTATAACTACATTATTTTACCTTTTATTTTGAATACAATAGAAAGCTTTTACTGTCACTTTATAGAATACAACAATAAAAAGACACAGGAACAAAAACACAACAACTTCAAGAAAAATGAACATCACCAGCTGACAACACAGCTTCTAGAATAACAAATTGAAATGAATAAATACATGTAAATTTGCACTAGGATAAGAGTATTTATTGCACTTGAATTAATATCATTGCACTAAAATACAAGTCATTTTTTGCACCAGAATAAATGTAATTATTGCAATATAATAAAAGTTATGTTTTACACTAAAATAAATGTAATTATTGTAATATAAAAAAAGTAATTTTTGCACTAGAATAAAATTAAGTTTTGCATTAGAATAAATTTAGTTATTGCAATATAATGAAAGCAATTATTGCACTAGAATAAATTACATTTTTGCACTACAATAAAATTTAATTATTGGAATATGATAAATATAATTATTGCACTAGAATAAATTTAATAATTGCACTAGTATGAATGTAATTATTGCAATACAGTCCATGTAATTATTGCACTAGAATAACTGTTATTATTGCACACGATTCAGTAGGTTGAAAGTTAAAGCATCTGTTAATTTACCTAAACCTGACTACTCATGCTTTAATCCTCCCCCGTCTCTGTTCCTGTCTCTCCAGTCCAGGAATACTTCAATGTGGTGGTTCATTATTTAGGACAGGAGGTCCTCAAACGTCAAATCCAAAACAGCGACGTCAGGATAATGTACTTACCTTCCTCTCCTGTTCCACCGACGCCGGCCGCCCTGAAGGGCAGGTTTCCTCGCATCCCGCTGCCTGAGCCGCCCTCCACGCTGCCGGCCGGTCCGGAGCTGCAGGCTCTGTTCACCCTGCTGCCCTTCATGGAGAAAGGAGTGGTGCTGACCACCATGTCTGGGGGAGTTTATGGTAAAAGGTTCTGCCAGGGGCGGGTCTTCTGGACAGGGCCGCACACGACCACACCGGGGCTGCACAAGATGGAGAGAAACACAGAGCCAGTGTTGCTCTTCAGTAAAGAGATCTTCAAGCGAGGTGAGTTTGATCTCTGGCTCGACCTCTAACACCTCACTGAGACACTGAACATTCACGTAATTCATGTGACCCAAAGTCTTTAAGGTGATTAAATTTAGGTTAAAGCCAGGTTACTTGATTAATTAAATCCAGTGTATGTAAACATGACAATTTGAATTCAATTTCAAAGAACAGTCTGAAGAAAACAGAACAATTTTTAACATATATATTTAATATACAGTTTAAACATTTAGTTGATTTAAATTTAAATTTATGAACAGAAACTAATGGCAGCTTAAGTGATTCATTATTACAGTCAGTCATTTTTCAAGATAAAAATTGAAAGCATTCTGTCGAAGGTGCAGCTTCTCAATTGTTTGTCAGATATGATCACAAACTAAATACATATTTAAATGAAACTAGATTCAACTTTATTTTCATGTCACAGAGTACTGACAATGACATGCAGTTTAGCATCTAACTAAAAGTGTAAAAGAAGTAAAGTTCAGAGTAATGTATATATGTATAGCAGTAATATAAATAATAACTTATCTAAGTAAGGTAGATATGAATAAGCTAGATATATACAGTATGAATGTTTGGAGTTTTGGACTGTTGTATCTAAAACACAGAATTTGATTAACCCACTTTGGTTTCTGGAAAATTTCAAAAGGCATTTTTTTAGTGTTTTCTGACATTACATAGATGAAAATTGAGAAATTAAATCAATAATTAAATTAATCTTCAGTTACAACCCCGAATAGCTTGTGTACATCCCAAATCTAACCTCAAACCAGTAAATCTGTTTAAAAAAATATATGTGGCCAAAAACTGAATCTAGTCCTAGTACAGTAAAATTCATTGTGTAACTTTAATTTTCCCTCATAATCAGATTTGGATCACTTCCGTGCAAACGGTGGCGAGCCTCCTGAGTGTGGCGTCACTCTGTGTTTTGGAGAAGAGCTGAGTAACACTGAAGACCCATCTGGAAAACTCATCATAGTTAAGGTAAATGTAAGTGTATTTTAGAAGATTATTTCTTCATGTATTTATAACTGGTATGATCACCACAATGAGGCTTTTGATTGAAATAGGGCTTTCAGCACCTGGGAGATGAATTTTTATATTTTCACATTTTCTGATTAAGACTCAAAGTGGCATGTTTTCGTCAAAAAAATCATATTGAAAGGAAGTTTACACTGCACTCAAATGTTATAGCAACTTATTACTTAAAATTATTGTTAATTATTACTTACAAAAATAGTAATTATTGTTATTTTCTTAAGAAGTATTATAAATTATTACTCACTAAAACTATTTTTGACTTATTTATTACTTAAAACTATTGTGTATAAATCATTTCTCAAAAATAGTTAATTATGAAGTAATTAAGATTTACTTAAAAATATTTACATTTACTTGAAAATATTATATAATTATTAAGAATAAAAGTATTGGTAATTATTAGTTAAATCTATTAACTAATTATGAAATTAGTTATTTCTTACCTAAAGGTATTATTATTTAAAAATATTGGAATCAATTATTATTTAAGACTATTTAATTATTACTTAAAAATACTTATTACTGTTATTTACTTGAATTAATTAGTATTTACTTAAAAAAATTCTTAACTAATTGTTAATTATTACTTACTTGAAAAGTATTCATTACTTAATTGAAACTATCAAAAAAGTATATTTTTTACTTAAAACTACTGTTTAAAACTACTGTTAATAATTACTAACAAAAATACTACTTATTATTTTCTTAAACACTATTATAAATTATTACACGCTAAAAACTATTATTAACTAATCATTAATTAAAGGTATTTTTTATTAATCATTGCTTAAAACTATTGTTGATCAATTATGACTTAGTTAAAACTAAATATTTTCTTCAAAGTATTGGTAATTATTATTTACTAAAAAGTATTATCTATTAATTATTACTTAAATGTAATTGTTACAGTAATTGTTACTTAGTTTTATTGATTAGTACTTCTTTAAAACTATTATCAATTAAAAGTTACCTTTCTAAAACTATAATTTCTTTATAGTTATACATTACACATAACTATTATTAATTGCTCCCTGAAAACGTTTTGCATTGGCTGCAAAACATTTGTACACCTCTGAATCACAAACAATATTCATGATATTTTCTTTCATGTAAATTTCATTACACTCATTTTAAATCTTTAAGTCTTGCTCTTAAGTCATCAAGTGATTGATCCCAAAATTGATGTTATTGTTACAAGCTGTTTTTTTAAGCTCTCAATACAATTAAGGTAAAACATAATTAATAATGATGATAATTATAATAAAATAATATTGTTACCTGCTCGTCCCTGTGCTCTCCTCTGCAGATCACCTTCTCATGGGCAGAGCAGCAGGTCCAGGACGCGCAGTGCTTCTTTCAGTCCATCAACTTCCTCCAGTCATTGGCCAACGAGTCTCCAAAGGGAGAAATAACTCTGAACCTGGTCACCGTGCCTCAACCGGACTCTGAAGCAGTTACCCTCGTGACAATCTGAGCACTTTGTCCAACGTGGGGGGGGGGTTGTTCATTCCAAAGTAAGAGACAAGCCCATTCTTTCAAAATAAGAGTAACCGGGCTGAGTGATATTTCAACATCACTGTAAATCTATCTTCTAAAATACACCAAATTAAAACCACTGATTCATTACAGAGTCAGATTTCTGACTAGTATTTGTGGCAAGTGTATATTTTCCTATCGCCCAGCCCTAACAGACAGGATAAAACAAGTCTCACAGCACTTACGAAAATACTTTTTGAGACTGGATCTACAGATGAAGTGGCATCTTTTGACCCTGAAAATGTATAATGAACTTTTTTGGGATGGACTTTTGACTCCTTACAGCCTTTGTAGAGATTGGTTGGTGAACTGGAAGCACTACATGTAAGCCTACACTGAGAACTTCAGATTTGCAACAATTAGTCAGCTGACAGAATTAATCGGCAACCACTTTGATAGTCAGTTACTTCTGTCAGTCGTTTAAACATTCTCTAAACATTCTTCAGCCTCTCAAATTTGAAGATCTGCATTTCTTTCTTTGTCATATATGACATTAACTTTAATATCTTCAGGTTTTTGACTGTTAGTGGAAAAATTGTCACTTTCTTCAATGTACTTGTTTTTTTTACTTAACATTTTATAGACCAAACAATGAATTGATTCTGAAAATAATCACTAGTTGCAGCTCTAGTCGTCTTCCTTCCTTGAAAATGTGATCTTACTTCTGCGATTATGGCTGCACGTGTTATTCTCCTAAGCAAATGATGTCATGTGTTTATACTACAGCACTATAAAAACTTTGTTCCTTGGTCTTGTTAAGCGTTTAGATGTCAATTATTATTGTAATATAAAAGGGAAACACACCGTCATGAAAGTAGTTGTAGCTATATTAAAAACAAAATAATTATCATTATCATAATCATTTTTATATTTTTAATGTATCCTTTTACTCAAACTCTGAGGTTAGTTCTTTGTCATGTCGGACATTGATACATTTACAAATGTGGACTGAAGGTTGTTTTTTAATAGAATATAAAAAAAGATGTTTCACACTGTTCACACTGAGACTTTGGGGGACTCTTAAAGGAAAAAAATCAAACCTTCTTTACTCCTGCTCTACTGTCAGAAATCATTCAGCTAGGCCATTGAGTGCAATTTTATTATGGGTTATGTGAGAAAGTTATGAAATTTACAAGAGTGGAAACAGGTTACCTCGACCTCTAAGAGAGAACGAGTGACTCTGGGTTAGTATTTTCAGAGTTACAAATTCTTAAAGACATTTGAAATGTTTTAAAATATTTTACTGGCATCACTGTGTATAGGTAAGGGGCAAACAAAAGTACAAAACCTACATTTCAGTACAGAAGTCCTGCAATAAATTCAGTCTGCTGAAGCTCAGGATATTTGGTTTTTGTCGAGGCTCTCAGACGCATCTATACAACTTGTTGGTCATTTTTTAAAAGGTGGTAATTTGGCGTTTACATGCAAATATGGTGCTAAGTGTGTGTTTGAGCATGCAACACTGTTCCTCTTTCCTAATGCAGTTAACACTGAGCAAAAGTTGACATGATTTATGAGAATTCATATATAAAATGTACAAGAGTTGCTATGGTAACATTTTACTTTAACCCCCTTTTCAGCATTAATTACCATTTAATAAACTACTTTTAACAAACTATAATGTGGCTGTATGCAGCTATAAAGGACGTTTTTAAGGGTTTATTCATGTAGAATGTTTATCAACAATCATTACTTTTCCTGAGAAGACATTTTATATTATTACATATACTGTCCTTTACTATACTGTCATTGATTATCTATTTATACAGCAGCTGCCACTTATGGGTGCCCACAGGAGAAGTTAAAGTTGTTGAAAGAAATACATAAATAAACACTTCTGCTTACAACTAAATTATAGCGCAATATAAATTTAAACTTTTATATACTGCTCAGAAATGATCAGCAAAATAAAGTCTTACCCCATTTTTTGTGCATTTTTCTATTAATCACTTTTGTTTTAATAAGCATTTCTGGTTTTTCCACTTGATCAGCTAATCAGGATATCATGCATTCAAACCTGAATCACCTGACAGTCTGACAGAAAACAAACATTTTGAGCTTCAACAAATCTGTATTTACTGCAGAACTTTTGTATTGTAAGGCATTTCTGTTATTTGTCCACTCCCTGGAGCTTGTTATGTACACAGAAATAACAATAAAAAGCAACAAAAAGACAATACAGGATCAAAAGTACCACAGGTGCATTGAAATAGTGTCAAAAGGTGTATTTAAGGTGATTTTTTCCTTTAAATCAGCAGCGTGTTGGGCTGGACCACAAGGCACACTCTGAGGAGGGGGTGGATGACTGTGGAGATCTACCAAGCTGTACATATATTTGTTATTTATGCATGTTCTATGTCATGTCCCTGTTCAGTCAAGAAAAGGCATTAAAAATAAACCTAATCTCTGTGTGTTTGTGTCAGGTTATAAAAGTCACATGATGTCGGGTGAGAACATAAATAAATCTGAGCTCTACTACAAACTGATGCTACTTCTCAGTCTAGATGTTCCCGTTGGCCGGTGAGGTGAGCTCGGCTATTTTGATGTTCAGTTTCTGGTTGGTCCAGTCCTTTGTAATGTCGTCCAAGTGGCTGTCAAAATCCACCAGTAGTGTGTGATCACCTGACTCCAGCATCTGACTGGCTATCGCCCGAGTCTCCTCCCACTGTCTCAGCATTATCCTGAACACAGTGAAAAATAACATAAATAAAAAAAGGACAAAGGGCAATGTTAAAGGGAAGGTTTGGATCTTGTGAAGTGGGGTTGTGTGAGGTACTTAACCATAGTCAGTGTATTACATAGAGTAGTTTGGAGAAGTAGCAGGAGCGCCACCATGGAAGCTAAGCAATGTGCTGCTGTGGAGGAGTTGGCAACAAAATGTATTTTAGCCACCTAATAAAATCTATTGGAGTGTATGCTAAATTTAGAATATTTTCACTACTTTACCTTGCAGTCAAACAGCCCTTTCCAACAGGAAACTGAAGTTAATATACCAAGCAGCCTCCAAATACCCCATACAACCCCACGATCCCCCAGGATCCAAACTATCCCTTTAATGTAGTGTTCTGGTCTTTGATTAGGGCAAGCAAGAATTAAAAATTATGCCTGATGTTGACTTATTTTGTATGTACCAGGGAAGATTTAAAGGATTGGGCCATTTTGTGAAGAAAAAAAAGATCAAAAATATGTTTATAAATTAATTTTACATTTAAAAACTAAAACTAATGAATCAATTAAATTTCAATTACAGAGAAAACAAACCCAGTTTTCGTGGGGATCTTATACTACATGAACGAATCAAGCACTAGGAAGTTGGAAGGTGGAGTCTGTTTACAGCCCGAGAGGTTGAACTCATGACAAAAATGTCAGCTGTCACTTACATGTGTTTGTCTTTGAGCATCCATCTTGAATCTTTACGCTCGTACATCACAATGGGAGGAACCCGATAATCTGGTGACATCTTACCGCCATCAAGCTGTGGAGCAAAACAGAGAACATATTCAATAAATGTATGAAACTCATGACTAATCCATTTTTTAATTTATACAATATCAAAACGTGTGTGTGTGTGTGTGTGTGTGTGTGTCTCTAACACTTGGGGGTTAGTAATGTCATTGTGTTACCTTATTCTTGTTTTATTTCTTTTGGATTTAGTTAGTGTCATTTTCTATTCATGTATTAATTCATCTATTTGCACTGTACTCTAAATTGTACTAAATATTACTTTGTTACTAATCTTACTGTCATTATTACTACTTTTGTTACTTGTATTTTATTTTTGTACAAATCTATAATTTTGGAAAATCTGCAAAGTAAACTGTCAATAGCAAGATGCACCCCCCTTTGATAAAACTAGTTATCAAAATCAAAAAGAGCAAATGAAAATTATTAGGAAATTGAAGGCCTGTAAAATAACCTTGTTTTATTGCCCAACAAAATAATAAAAGAAAATATCAACAGTGACATTTCAAGTGACATTCATTTAAACTGCTTACCAAGAAAAACTTTCTCCGTTTCAAGTGATACTAAATCGAGAAATCCAAGAATAACTTAAACTTACTTAACTGACTCATCACTAGATAGTTTCATCACTACTGTAGCGTCTTCTTGTCTCTACTAGCAAACAGGCGAAGGGATTGTTAAACAAACTGCTTTACTTATTCTTACCATTAACAAAACTGCGTTGTCAAACTGCTCAGAAATCTTATCAGCTATCTTCAGTGCACATGGTGTCGGGCTGTTGGGTTCAAAAGATTAAAACAGATTAAATAAAACGTTAGAAAGGTTAACATTTTACTAAAATACTCAACCAAAAGAATGAAAAATTTGAGGAAACATCTCATAAAAGATGTAGTATAGCTGAAATAAGCGGGGGTTTGGAGAGGCATCATGGACAGGAAACTAACCTGCTATCTGAAACGCAGGCATTGGCTTGATAGTATCCAACTATCCTCTGCTGAGTCTGTGAACACCACACATCCACCTGAAACGAGAACAGACCGTCATTCTCAAATTAGGCTCATATTTGGGCAGATTTAGGTGAATCTTCCTGGGGCTTTTTTTAATGCAGGAAAACACATACGATTGGTCTTGTGGTGGCAAAACAACTACTTAATTAGGCTGTCTTTCTTGAGTTTTAATAAGCATTCATGAATGGAGTCACACACATACAGTACAGGCCAAAAGTTTGGACACACCTTCTCATTCAATGCGTTTTCTTTATTTTCATGACTATTTACATTGTAGATTCTCACTGAAGGCATCAAAACTATGAATGAACACATGTGGAGTTATGTACTTAACAAAAAAAGGTGAAATAACTGAAAACATGTTTTATATTCTAGTTTCTTCAAAATAGCCACCCTTTGCTCTGATTACTGCTTTGCACACTCTTGGCATTCTCTCCATGAGCTTCAAGAGGTAGTCACCTGAAATGGTTTTCCAACAGTCTTGAAGGAGTTCCCAGAGGTGTTTAGCACTTGTTGGCCCCTTTGCCTTCACTCTGCGGTCCAGCTCACCCCAAACCATCTCGATTGGGTTCAGGTCCGGTGACTGTGGAGGCCAGGTCATCTGCCGCAGCACTCCATCACTCTCCTTCTTGGTCAAATAGCCCTTACACAGCCTGGAGGTGTGTTTGGGGTCATTGTCCTGTTGAAAAATAAATGATCGTCCAACTAAACGCAAACGGGATGGGATGGCATGTCGCTGCAGGATGCTGTGGTAGCCATGCTGGTTCAGTGTGCCTTCAATTTTGAATAAATCCCCAACAGTGTCACCAGCAAAACACCCCCACACCATCACACCTCCTCCTCCATGCTTCACAGTGGGAACCAGGCATGTGTAATCCATCCGTTCACCTTTTCTGCGTCTCACAAAGACACGGCGGTTGGAATCAAAGATCTCAAATTTGGACTCATCAGACCAAAGCACAGATTTCCACTGGTCTAATGTCCATTCCTTGTGTTTCTTGGCCCAAACAAATCTCTTCTGCTTGTTGCCTCTCCTTAGCAGTGGTTTCCTAGCAGCTATTTGACCATAAAGGCCTGATTGGCGCAGTCTCCTCTTAACAGTTGTTCTAGAGATGGGTCTGCTGCTAGAACTCTGTGTGGCATTCATCTGGTCTCTGATCTGAGCTGCTGTTACCTTGCGATTTCTGAGGCTGGTGACTCGGATGAACTTATCCTCAGAAGCAGAGGTGACTCTTGGTCTTCCTTTCCTGGGTCGGTCCTCATGTGTGCCAGTTTTGTTGTAGCGCTTGATGGTTTTTGCGACTCCACTTGGGGACACATTTAAAGTTTTTGCAATTTTCCGGACTGACTGACCTTCATTTCTTAAAGTAATGATGGCCACTCGTTTTTCTTTAGTTAGCTGATTGGTTCTTGCCATAATATGAATTTTAACAGTTGTCCAATAGGGCTGTTGGCTGTGTATTAACCTGACTTCTGCACAACACAACTGATGGTCCCAACCCCATTGATAAAGCAAGAAATTCCACTAATTAACCCTGATAAGGCACACCTGTGAAGTGGAAACCATTTCAGGTGACTACCTCTTGAAGCTCATGGAGAGAATGCCAAGAGTGTGCAAAGCAGTAATCAGAGCAAAGGGTGGCTATTTTGAAGAAACTAGAATATAAAACATGTTTTCAGTTATTTCACCTTTTTTTGTTAAGTACATAACTCCACATGTGTTCATTCATAGTTTTGATGCCTTCAGTGAGAATCTACAATGTAAACAGTCATGAAAATAAAGAAAACGCATTGAATGAGAAGGTGTGTCCAAACTTTTGGCCTGTACTGTACAACTGCATGAACAGTCAGTCAGTGAGTGAGTGCCTAGATGTTCTTAAGCAATGCTATCTTTGTAGTTCCCAAAACACATGCATGTCAATAGTCAAAAGATATGGCACTCAGGTGGTTCTGCAGTAAGCATCCCTATGACACATCTCTTGAGGCTTACAAGGACACCTGATGTCCATTAGGCCCCTGCTGTATCTCACACTGCTGTCACAGTAGGGGTTAAATGCGCAATGCTTATTAGGTGAGAAGTTCAGTTTCATCAAAACAAGTAACCTTATACAACACATGCAGAATACACTATAGGTTAAATATGGTCAAATACCAGAATTTTCCATCACAGTCTTTTTAGGCAAGATGCTCTTTTTTTCATAAACTCTTGGATAAGGTACTATGTAAAAAATCTGTGTTTCTATTGTGGGTTTCAACTTACTGAATAAAGTTAGCACTTCCATCTTTGTCCACCAAACCCTCTCAGCCCTCATGCCTTGGTGTTTTATCTTGTTTCTCACACTGGTAGCTCCTTGTTTCACTTTAAACTGTATCATATAGTAATTACCTGGTTCACATTTGAGCCACAGAGCAAAGCATAACCTTTTCTAAATAATAAATTACATATAAGCTTATTTTCCTGCAGCTGTTTTGAAAGTATTGCAAGAATCTTGAAAGGCTCCTCTAACTTTAAAATTTCTGACTGAGTTTGTCACGGTTTTCTGTCCAGGAAGCCGGAAATTACATTTGCCATTTCTTTTTTTTTTTAAGATTTTTTGGGGGGCATTTTTAGCCTTTATTTGATAGGACAGACAAGTGTGAAAGGGGGGGAGAGAGAGAGTGAGTGACATGCAGCAAAGGGCCACAGGCTGGAGTCGAACCCGGGCCGCTGCGGCAACAGCCTTGTACATGGGGCGCCTGCTCTACCACCGACGCCCCACATTTGCCATTTCTACAGAGCAAATCTCTGCAGCCGGATTCCAAAATATGGTGGAAAGCCTTCACAGAAATGACATGCTCAGCCTCCACATATGAGAGTAATGTTCGCATGTCTACATACTTTGCACCAATGCAGTGTAGTTTAAACAACATTTTAACAATGAGTACTAAGTGAAAAGGATACTGGGATAAAGTATCATTCTCAGCAGGGAGATAAATCAGTCAATGAGTCAACGGCTGACTAGTAAATCAATGACAGATTACACCAACATCAAAAATATGTTTTGCACAGTTCTTTGCCATATATTTAAACATAATGACAGACAATAAAACCCGTACTTGTGAAATGAACAGCTATATATCAAACACGTTTACATAATGCAAACTGCCAGCAAAACATGCACCCTAAAATAAATACATTTTTAAAATTTGTTGCATTAGTTACATTTTAAAAAAGCTGTTACAGTAAGAACCAGAATAAGAAAACGCTGCACGTGCACTGGTGTGTTTACTGGCGTACACACAGGCACCTGTTTCAGAGACAACAGCAAAGAGAAATGTGAAAAGGAGCGAACGAATGAACAAGCAACCGGTAGCTTCCTGGACAACATGGCAACAGTTGCACTATTAGTATGTGTTTACCAAGAACATGGATAACATGGATTCAAATTCTGTAAAGTATGAGAAAAAACATAAACTACAAAGTATATTATTCAGTTACTGTAATAAGTAACTTTTCAACATTCTTTTATGTGACATTTTCATTATTAAGCTGACGTATAACTACATAGTATCTTAATTAATTTAATTTAAAGTGACTAAAAATGGCAACCATATTTTCAGTTTTGGCAACCAAAAGCTGAGGCCTGGTTTCCGGCCTTACAACACTTCCAAAAGTTAATGTTAAGCCCTGTGGTTTCTTATATATTGAATAGATCTAGGACACACATAAAAAATGGAGTTATTATTTGTATTAATTTAATTAAAAAAAAAGAAAACTGCCAAGTATACCAGCTAATGCATGTCTCAACATTGGCACAAATACCAAAGCATGATTCTGCAGAGAAACATAAGAAATGATAAGCAGTTTTGACAGACACCAAATATAATGTGGCTCATCACTATGTATTCTATTTGAGCAGTGTCCTTCTCACTGATTTCGCATTTAATCATTTATAATTAATTACAGAGCTTACTGCCAAAGACAGCTCAAGCTTTAGGCTTTGGGTTTCGAATTGCATACTTTTAGTAGGTACTGTACCGCACCTTAGGAAGTATGTACTGTTGCAGGCAGTATGCACACAATCAGGACATACCATTTCCTCATGACATTACACTCTGAACTTTGACCCTCTTGCTGATATATCTGTTACCTTGGCAATAAAATCAAAAAACGCCATTCGCTGAGCTCACCAGAGACAGAGGTCAACCTGGTTAACACTGCTGTTGTCTAATGTGTTTTTAACTTTTAAGTTATACTTGCATACATTTCTCTATCATTTATTTTCAGTTATGTCCTTTTGTTGTTGGTAATCGTTATGATTACTTTGTTGTTAAACAATTAATATTCCTATTATGACAATTCGACGGGCAATCAGTCACTTGATTGTGCTGTCATCTGTCATTGCCGCTCCTGACAGTTATCAATGAGCTGTCATGTGTCTGCGGCTAAGTTTATGTGGCGGATCTTCCACTGCGCAGAGGACTGTGGCTTAGAATAGCCAGAAAAGCATGCTGGCTTGCAGACTGCACAATGTGACCTGATGCAGTAGAACATTATGATATTATTGGCATACTGTATTTGACATATCATGTACTGATACCTACTAAATCTTTTCTGACACACTAAATAGTACATAGTATGGGTATACACAGAATGTTATGCAGTGAGTTTTGTCGGGAAATGAGTAAAACATTTTGAATTGTGTTACCATGAAAGGTATGATTTAGGGCTTACACATACCAGACTTTCAAGAAAACCTAACGCTGCACCACTGTCGAACCTCAGTCAGATTAGCTGATGCTCGGACGAGGATTCTGATCAGCTAAACTGAACCAATATGGTTAATATGGCTAATGTCGGCAGATGTCCTACCTGTGTGAGGGCCAGCTGAGTGATGGGAGCCAGGGGCAGGTGGGAGTGAAGCAGCGGGACGCAGTCTGTCACACAGACAGCACCGCCTGCTGAGCTGGACGACAAAAGGAGTCCGTTGATGCTGCACCGCGGAAAGAGGCAGGCGTGCAGGTACATCTTCACATAAGCCCGGCAGGACAGCTCCACCTCGCCCATGATGATTTACTGAGAGGACATAAAGACAAACGCACTGAAAACTGACTTCAAAACAACCCGGCAGAGGCTAAATGTACTGACGCATCACACGTTAACGACCACGACCATTTTCACACACATATAAAACAGGAGTCGTTAATATGTAATCCTAAAATGAGGGACAAAATCGGCCCAGAGGTTGTGTTTAAAACTGGAGGTGGCTCAATGGACATACATTAGCATTAGCATACTAGCAAACCAATCACAACTGAATTAACACTTACCTTTAGAGATATAAGATATAATATAGTAAGACTAGAGTGAACAACCGATTCCTGCTTTCAGATTTTCAAATATATTGGTTCATTTAGGTTTTCCTATCGTTTTGGAGGTTTTAGCAGCGCCGTAACAGCTAAGTGTCTCACTTGACAGCTAATTTCAAAAAGCGTCCGAATGGCTACTTCCGGTCCCACCCAGTAGAGTCAGAAGTAGTTATCTGATTGGTCGAAACGTCGAGGTTTTGAATTATCCTATTGGAAGACCAAAGTGCCAATCATTCGTCAGCCGCTGTGTGCACACTTTGCAGCAGTGTGCCCTCTAGTGGAGAGGATGTCGTCTGTAATATCAAATGTTGGTACAAGGGTAAAAACAGAACTGGCAAGAAATCGTATCATAAACTTCAGACCCTTTTCCAGTTAATAAAGCTTTTAGGGACTGTACTTAATTTGTCAGAGGGATGCTTTAGTGTGACTCTTTCTTGACCCTCCCCGAAGCTACAAATATTTTTCCTTAGGCCTCCCTGAGTGACGGAGAAAATGCATGACCTTCCCCCTCCATAAATAACTATATTCACAACAAATGTAGGTATTATATAATTTAAGAAACGGTCATGTTGCATATCAGCAACATATGCATATGACTGTCCTCCCAGATAAACATAGCAAAAATGGCAGCAGCAGCCTGAATATCTAACTTGGCACAGCAGTCATTTAGGGAAAAAAAAAAAACCTGATCGAAAGTTTAGTTGAAAAACCGAAATCCTTAAGTTGAGAAAACCTTTGTCATGTATGCAGGGGCACAGACTTTAACGGGCGTTTTTCCCCACAGGATATGTTTGGTGCAAAAATAGTTTCGTTTAGTTGACGTTTTAATTGAGACATAGATAAGCGATATGAAATACAAGTTTTATATATTGGAAAATTGAGTGTGAATTGAACTGAAAATTAAATGGCAATTTGTTCACTATGATAAACATGCAGCTCCATGTGGAATATTCATCCCTTAAACCAACTAACAAGTTGCTCCCCAGTGAGAAAGAAAAACTCCCTCTCATACCTAAAAACCTAATACCTTTAATTAAAGTAAATCAAAGAAAATCATAGAAAAGCACAATAAAATGCCACACTTATGGAAGGCATTAACCTTTTATTTTATTATGTCTTGACTTTTACATCTCTATATTCATTTGTACTCATTTGTGCTGCACTTTAATTTCCCCTCTGGGGATCAGTAAAGGCTTATGGTATGTTCTGCATGTTTGTTTTGAGAAACAAATGTGAAATGGTAAATGAAATGTGTGGCAACACATTATACCTGACAGCAAGGTACAACAATATCCCTTGAGTTCAGTCAATGGTGCTGTAAAGTTTACCTAATAGCTTTGTCCTGATAAATACCACATGTTGGCCTATAAGCCATGTGATTTGCAAGATTCAAACATGTGCTTCAAAGTTGGCATGAAATGGGCTGTTAGAAAAGCTGCAGAACTTCCATCTGGCACACAAGTCATGATGCCAGAAACCTTGGTCAACCAGATAGATATGATAGAAGCAAATTGCAACATTAACTGTTGCCCACAAGCCAAATTGAATTTAAATTTACCGACCACAAGAGGAAAAAAAAAAGACTAAAGATACAAGGTTTATTTTGACAAGTCAATACAATGGCTCAGTTGAAAGCAGTCTTTGAAGAACCTCTGTTATTGTGGTGGCTGCTCTGGATTTGATTGAAGTCCATAGCCATGCCCAGACCAATACCCAAGGTTGTTACCATAAACTCCAGTTGTGTCATATCTGAAAGAAATTCACGATGGACAGATTACTTACCAATGCTGCTAATGTAGCCAATACAACATGATCAGTTTACCTGTTTGAAGCCATTTGGCCGGGGCTAGTTGGGCGGGTAGCTAGGCACCTGTGGCTGAGGCTGCTTGGGCAGCTGTTGCTGAGGCCTCTTGGGCAGGTAGCTAGGCACCTGAAGCATCTATGACTGCTGAGGCACCTGGGGCTTCTGCTGCTTTGGCGGGTAGCTAGGCACCTGAAGCATCTATGACTGCTGAGGCACCTGGGGCTTCTGCTTCTTTGGCGGGTAGTTAGGCACCTGGGGCATCTGAGACTGCTGAGGCACCTGGGGCTGCTGCTGCTGCTGCTTGGGCAGGTAGCTAGACATCTGCAGCTGCTGCTGCTTGGGCGGGTGGCTTGGCACCTGGGGCATCTGCAGCTGCTGAGGCACCTGGGGCTGCTGCTGCTTGGGTGGGGAGCTAGGCACCTGAGGCATCTGCGGCTACTGCTGAGGCTGCTTGGGCAGGTAGCTAGGCACCTGGGGCATCCGCTGAAGCTGCTTGGGCAAATAGCTAGGCACCTGGGGCAACTGCGGCTGAGGCTGCTGCTGGGGTGGAACACCTGGGGCATCTGTGGCTGCTGGGGCAGGTAACTGGGCTGCTGGGGCATCTGTGGCATTTAAGGTTGAAACACCACCACCAAGTGGCAATTTACTTACATTGATGGGATGTTTAATGAATCAAACTGAGAAAGAATGAACATAATGATGACTGATTGTAATTTCAGAACAGCATATTTTTTATGTTGAATATATATTTAAAATCATCTCCTTAAAAAAACAGAAGGCATAATAGGCATAATAATAAAGTGACAATCTTTTGAAAGACATCGCAAAAAGTGTTAACTGTTACAACATCTCGGGTTAGAAAAGCTGATACAAGTGAGTGATGGTAGGTGCATTTTAAACCTGAATGAACTGAACTACTTACTGAGGCCCACAAACAGATCACTGGCTTGATGTGAAACTCATAGACTTTGGTAAAAGAAAGAAGAAAGAAGAAGAAAAAGGAGGTTAAAGGATACAAGGTACGTTTTTATTTCAGTTTGACAAGTCAAAGGATACAATGGATCAGTTGAAAGCAGTTTTTTAACGAACTTCTATTGTTGCGATGCCTGGCACAAAAAACATGGATCTGAGGAACAATCAGTATTTGAAAGCTTGAATTATGTGATTTCTGAATTTAAGTACATGCTGCCCATCACTGCTCTGACTTTGATTGAAGTCCTTTGCTATATCCCTACAAATACCCAAGGTTATATCCAGACACCTGTGACTGTTGAGTATAGCTGGATGAATACTGGATTTCTAATACAGATTGATAGTTTGTAGTTCAGAGTCATTGTAGTAACTGGGTAATAGTGGTATGTTGTAGCGACTTGCCTTATTTGCATTTGATGTTGAACCACCACCACCGAATGGCACAGTGCTCCATGAAGATCCGTCTCCAGTGTTAAAGCCACTTGAATCTGGTCAACTGGCACTTCAGTATCTCCAGTCTTCTCTGCAGATCCAACACTGTGACCTGTAGAGCAAAATTTTAGTCCATGCATATCAGTCTTCTGAGACCAGCAGGAGCTCCCATCCCACATTTCTGTCTTGATGGCTGAGTTTTAAAACTAGAGTGATGATACTGATATCATATGAAACAAGACCTTAAGAATCTAGAGGCACCAACCAGGTCATGTTGGCCAACACAAGATTACATTTTGGCCAGGAAGAAAAGGCACAGCCGATTCAAAGGGGTCCCTTGACCTCTCACCCCAAGGTATCTGACTGAAAGGGGATTGTATGGGTACCCATGAGCGCCCCCTTACAGACATGCCCACTTTATGCTAGTCCCACACAGTTTAAAACAAAAACCATGCCGGTTTTTTTTGCATGCAGTGTAAATGTGTTATTTTTCCCTTTTTTTAATATTTCTGCATACTGGGGTCCATAAACAGTCTTGGAATTATATAACTTAAACCCAAACTGAGACTTTTAACGATTGGATGAGCCCAAAGTTGTTCATGTGTGATGATGTTAGCCCTCATAGTTGCCATTTTATTATAGTAGGACCATTTTTATAAATGGACATCACTATATAAACTGACCTATCATGACCTCTAGGATAATCACAGCCTCGTGAATACTTACAGACACAAACAAGAGACCACAGGCATTCAGGACAAATGTTTTTCATGTGAAAGTAGGTTTTGGTAAAAAATTCTTTTTATAAATTTGTGTTATTGAATTTGTGCTCATTCAAAGGTAGTGTAACAAAGGACTAAATGACTTTAAAACTATTCATTTCTTTTTATAGTGTTGATTTCTGTGTGTTCCTGGCACAAAAGAAAAATAAACAATAAAAAAATCCAGAAACACCAACTTTTTTTATTGATACTGGTAATAAATGTGCAGTATACATCAACTGTTGAGCCACAGCAAATGACAGCAAATGTTATTTTTTTCGCCAAATGTGCTAGGACCACCACCACTGTTCTAACTGACATAGATGACAATCGGAAAAAAAGTGGGCCTATTTGTCATTGTGGAGAAAACTAAATGAAATTATTATTTGAAAGTTTAGATAATTAACTTTAGATATAAACTCAAAGAGAAAAATTAATCTCTGATGAAATATTCACAGGAAATTATCTGCTGAAAATTCCTCCATACTGCTTGTTTTACATAAACTTCCTGCAGATAATGTGTTCGCTATTTGGGTTAATTGTACAGTTTAACAGTTGTACAGCACTGTTATTGTATTGCATTGATTATGAGATAAAATATGTCATGTAGTCAGGGGTCATCACTTTACTCAATGATAGAAAAGGGGTCCCCGAAGGTCCCCGGCTTTATGCTGTAATGTGCATGTGCAAGTACTAACAGCTTCGACTAGTTCAAATCTACAGACGTCTTGTGGCCCACTGGGACACTCAGACCGAGGAGAAGGAGCTGAGGAAATTAGCACAAGTAGTTTTATTTTATGCTGCTCATGATGCAGCCTAGGCTGTCTTTGTGCCAAGCTAGCTTGGTGTTAGCATGCTAGCTTGTAGCATGCTGTGTGTGGACCAAGAGTAAACATAAACATGCTTCCAGACTATTTTTTGTTTGCTGGGTAAAATAGTGAAACAGAACCAAAAAAAAAGCACACCTTTGTTAGACTTTGTCTAAACCTACAGCTTTTAAAATTACAGTTGTAAAATGATGAAGCAGAGAATCCAATAGAAACGCCCATTCTGTCTGCTTGCACACCTTGAAACAAAACACCCACATATAGCCCACTGAAATGTTTGTGTACATTGAGAAGCACTGACGGGCAGCTGAATGAGGAGACATGCTGCTCATTTAACCAAAGTGAAAAGATGACTTGCATGAGAATAAAAGCAAAACCTTCAACTCTCAGCAGACCTTCAGTTTATCGTGTTCCTATAAAATCTAAATGTTAAAGTAAAACCATCTCTGGGCTCACTGGTTTTACTACAGAACAAAACTTAAGAGTCTAAAATCATCACTAACAGCTGGAGGCCGTTCTGCTGTTTTTGCATGATTCGATCCAACAGGTTTGAAGTTGAACCAAGCACCATCAAAAGAGGAACTTGATATTTGCCATGAGTAGCAACTATGGTGCCAACGCCCTGCTGACCAGGCCTTTTTTGTGGGGTGTGACATCTAATCACTTGTTTTCTTTATTCCTCAGGGTATTTAAAGTCACGAGGGACAAAGAGAGGCTAGGAAAAACTAAAATCAAAATGAAACTATGAAGGAGAGATTTAAATCAGGCCTGCAGTTGGTTTGAGGATAAAATCAGTTGTTCTTAAAATATTTGATTTGTGCATTGCATTGTTACCTAACCTACATAATGTTACATTAAATGTGCAACTTTATATATGTTACACCATTGATGGGGTGCTAAATTGTTCAATATCATATGAACTTTTGTATGAGGACTCGTTGTTTGGATGGGTCCTGAAGGGGTCATGGGAGATTGCCCATTCAGTCTACTGAAGCTTTGTGGACTTGGACTAGGCCTATGACCTCAGCGTGTCTTTTGAGGGGTACAGCAGTACTAAGGTGCACGGGCTGCTTTTGCTGAAAGTGAATTGTTCTCTGTAAATTCAAAGAGCTGTATGTGTATTCTCTGTAATCAGTCAGATGTATTCTGTGTTGGTGCTCAAGTTCATCAAGGTGGTCCTCTGTGCTTTTCATGGACCGAAGGGTGGTAGAGTGTCTGTTTTGTTTGACCTCAGGATTTCATTTGTGCTTTTTGCTGATTATGTAGTTCTGTTGGTCCTCCTTGACCCAACCAGAGTCAACACTTCCAAATCTGATACCACGACACTGATAAAACAGTGGATTGATTCAGGAGCAAGTTTCAACCCCAAGTGAAGGGGTTCTAGCATCTGAGAATATTGTCTGACAACCTGCATGTGTTTGGACTGTGGGAGGAAGCCAGAGTACCCAGAGAAAACCCACGCTAACGCAGGAAGAACATACAAGCTCCACACAGAAGGGTTCCCTCCTGGGATTTAACCAGGAACCCTCTTACTGTGAGGCGACAGCAAAAAACACCAAGTCACACTTAATGGGGCGCAGTGCCGATATTTTTTAGTCCAAAAAGTTTTTTTATTGGTTTTAATTACGGTTTCAGTTGTGCTTATTCATTGAATGTATCCATTAACATTTATGAACTCATCCTAACCACCTCAGGTAGTGAGGCAGAAATCTCAGTCCAAATTTTTTTTAGGAACAGTACCGCAACATATACATGTAGTTTGCTGGGATTTGGTGACATTGATCACAGGAAGGAGACACTGTTTCGAATATTTTTGCAAGCAGAGCTTTGGTAAACTGGGTTCTTTGCAGAATCCTGCACTGGATAAAACTGTGTCTAGCACAAATAGACTATCTGTGTACTCTCTGCAAAATCTCTTCCCAAACATCAACCAGAATCGTCACACCCAAATCCACCTCCGTAATAGTTTTAAGACACTCTGACAAATCAGAGAGCCTTGCTACACAGTGTTTACAAGACAGACCAAATTGAATTACGGGACCTTAACAGGCGGATGAACAGCTGTATCACGGTGACAACAGAGACCTGGCTGCACCAAAACATCCCAGACCTAGCTGTGGAGCTAGCAGGCCGCACAATCTTCCGGGCACACCGGCCGCACATCAGACTCCGCTAAGACCAGAGGAGGGGGTGTACATGTGTGTCGTCTATATTAACAACAACAGTTGGTGCACCGAGATTACCGTTGTTGAGAGACACTGCTGTTCAGACCTGGAGTTTTTACTGTTGAAGTGCAGAGCTTTTTACCCTCCCAGAGAAATCACCAAAGTGTTGGTAGCTGCTGTGTATATCCACCTGTGAGCTAGCGCTAATGTAGTTATGAGCAGGCTGCACCACAGGGTCAGCAGGCAGCAGAACACACACCCAGAGGGCTTCTTTATCGTGGCTAGTGATTTTCATCACACTCATTTAAAGACTGTGCTCCCCAGATTTTATAAGAACGTGGACATTAAAACAAGGACGGGCAGAACACTAGATCAGATCCAGCATTCCTGGAGCCTACAAAGCCCCTCCCCTCACCTCAGACACTCAGACCATCTTTCCCTGTTCCTGACACTTGCTTATAGGGCCCTCATCTGCAGGTCTAAGCCACAGCACAAGCCAGTGCAGCGCTGGACTGAAGAGGCCACACTATCCATCCCACACCTGGAGGAGATCTACTGGAGCCGTCTCCTCCGACGGGCCACAAAGATCCAGAATGACCCCGCCCACCCAGGACACTCTCTGTTCACCAGCCTCCCCTCTGGCAGGCTCAGACACTACTAGCTTACCTCCTAGTCCAATAATATGGACTACTGCAATAACTGCTCTCTTGCACCTTTTAACTATGCCTAGTATTTTTAGCTGTACTTTACTATACATACATACATACATACATACATACATACATACATACACACACACATACACACATAGATAGATAATAAATGTTGTTATGTTATGTTATTGCATGTGACAGAAGGTGGAGCTGAGCTGGAGCAGGCATTTGTTAGTATGAAGTGTGTTTTGGTTGTGGAGGTACAATGACGAAAGTGGTTTGAGGTGAAGGCACCGCTGTGGTGTTTGGTGTGATTGTGTAGCCGTGGGTGAGCGGGAGTCGAACCGTCAATCACGGAGTTTGAAGCAGGTGCGCATGCGTAGTATGTATTTCCAGTTTGAGCATGTGCATTAACCACTGGGTCACGACAGGAAAACGGGTCTGAAGATGTGAAAAAGTGGGTATAGTTCCAGCTCCCTATTAAACCAACAAGCTGTGGTTTTAATTGGGGCTA